TGCACCATGAAAGGAGGAGTTCCTTTTAATACAATATAACAATGGACACAAAGCACTAGCTTATAAGGTATCACATCATGTTTTTAGATAATTAACCATATACCAAAAACTATTGAGTTCATTGAACGTTTTGACCAGACTGAGAAATCGCAACGGTTCTGAAATGTTGAAACAAAACATTTCATTTTGACCCAATTCAAAATTTTAACAGAAGCAAAGGGGAACTAGATTCACAAAATAGCTTGAGGGTGGTGGGGAAGAAAGATCATCATCATCAGGGCCGGTGCAAGGAAGTTTCGTGCCCTAGGCGAAACTTCCAGCTTGTGCCCCCCCCCAGCCTTACGGCATCTCCCCCACCCTGCCCTGAGGCGCCCCCCCCCCGCGGCAGTTCCCCACCCCAGGGAGCCATGCGGCAGCTCCTCATCCCAGCTCACCTCTGCTCCGTCTCCTCCCCTAGCACGCCGCCCCCGCTCTAAATTCTCCTCCCCTCCCAGGTTTGCGGCACCAAACAGCTGATTGGTGCTGCAAGCCTGGGAGGCGGGAGAAGTGGAGCGGCGACCGCGCACTCGGGGAGGGGACATAGGAATGCTGTAAAAAAAAAAAAAAAAGGCACCGCTTTTTGGCACCCCCAAATCTTGGCGCCCTAGGTAACCGCCTATTTTGCCTTAATGGTAGCACCGGCCCTGATCATCATCCTTGTAGCCTTTAGCCCAGTGGGTAGGGTACCCACCTGGGATGTGGGTGTTCAATTTCCCCCTCTTAACTAATGAGGAGAAAGGTGAATGTGCTAACCACTGGGCTTTGGAGTATTCTGGCATAGGTTTTTCCTCAGTCTCTCCTACTGAAGCTGTTTCACTTTTTATAAAAAATTAAATAGTCATTGGAGCAGGAACTTGATTTTGGGTCTTCCACATTCTCGGAAAGTGAACTAACCACCAAGCTATAGAGCCATTCTCACTCTTTTCCCCTGGCCCAATGACTATTCACGGCCATTCATAATGACAATGACAAAGTATTTAACACAATGGGGCTCTGATCCATGAATGGGGCCTCTGGGCATTACCACAATACTACTACTATTGTTTTCTTGCTTCAGGCTCACTTCTTGGCAAATGTATAATGATATTTTGTAACTTCGTCATTTTAAAATTCCTTCCGTCAAAAGATCTCAACACAGGTCACAAAAATGAATACACTAACCCTCACGAAGTAGGGAACACTAATCTTAGTTTGCTCATAAGGCAGAGAGATTAAGGGCCAGAAGCTGACACTCTTACTCACGTGTAGTAGTACTTTACTCTGATAGTAGTTCTACTGAAATAAATGGAACTTTTTGGAGATTAAGGTGCTACTCCACGTGAGAATGTCTGAATATGGCCCTAAGTGACTTGCCCACGGTCTTGCAGTGCATCAGTAGCAGAGCAGAGAATAGAAACCAGATCTCCTTTCTCCTATGGTTTGTTCTTTTAGCCTGAGTACTAGATTAAAGAATTGCATATTAAGAATCTAAATAAAACTGTTATAATCTGGCAGTATCAAGTATAGTCACATTTACCACCCCCATATATTTTTTTTAACTACCCTTTAACCAAACCCAACATTTAGCAATAGAGACGAGACAAATACCTGCAGATTAAGGGCTTCTCTACACAGTGGGGTAATGCGCACTAAAGGAGTTTTATTTTCTAAAGTGCACTAATGTGATGCGCATTTATTGGTCCGTGTAGAAAAGCCCTTAACTTGCAGTCATGAGTCTTGTGCATGTCAGTGTGCTCACCCCACTGTGTAGTTAAGCCTTAACTTTGCAATAGCTTTGTTACTTGACCAATATAATGAGAAACAACAGCTCATGAAGTTTTTCATATATAGCAGGTCTGGGCAAAGAAAGCAAACTTTAGCTTTGATGGAATACAATCAAAGTTGATACTTCTCCAAATTAAAGCTGATACCAATATTAGGCAAAAATTATTTTTAGCATTTTCAGCTTATCAGTCCATTAGGCCTCAAATCATTCATGTCCCCAGAATTGTTAACAAGTGTAATTTTGTTTATGTTCTAAGTTTATTAGCATAATAGGTCTTTAAAACTAATCAGTCCTTGGCTTTGCATGTGGCTTTCAAATTCTCAAACAAAAACAGAGCAAGAACTGTAGGATTTGGAATTTAGGAAGAGGAACACTAGCAGCTAACGCTGCTGAATCATCATAATCATTTCTAACACTATTCCGTTCAGCAGTTCCTTCTACTATTCTTTCACACACAGACATTCACTTCTAGAATGACACAGGTGCCTGTATTTCTTTCCTCTGTGTGGGTATGTCTGACACTCTGATCTAGGTAATACCGTCACTAAAATCAAAGCAATTACATCTTTGTCAGATGCTAGCTAAAATATTCACACAGAATGAAAAAAAACAAAGATTTGACTATTACTTTGCTGTAATCTGGGGACACCTAATTCAATACTCAGACAGTTATTAGCTAATTACACACAAAGGGAGTGTAATGGAGCAAAAAGATAACCAGAATTCATTCTGTGCTTATTCACACCCAAACATGCATGTTTGATATTATTGATATTGCTGCTTTGCCCAATGTGACAATTTTTTTAACATATATTTATTCTATTGTCGCATTTTGCTTAAGCAGGTACTGGCTGTACCTCAACATCATAACAATGTCTGCTTTAAATCTTCTGTACATAAAAATCTAACAGAATGACTAACAACAAACTGCAAAATGTACATAGCTGGAGACAGAACGGTCATCACAAACCTGGCAAGCACAATCTCACCTGTATCTGTGGCACACCCACCTTCAAACTTCTATCCAGTACAATTGGATGTTATATGGGAGGTAAGGAGCTTTGAACTTCCCCCACCTCAAGCTAAATGGTCCTAAGGAAACTCTTTGCTCTCCCCCCTTTTACAGATCATTAACAATATAGCTAACCAAAGTTGATCCTTGTACAGATCAACTCTCTGTTTAAACAGGTTTCTGTAATGTTCAAAAAAAGAGAAGAAAATCCAAACTCACCAAATCTCAAAGTGCACCCTTGTGATGTCATAACATGGGTGCCAAAGTGCATAAGTAGAAATTGTGAACTTTCCAAGACAGTATACGGTAAGTCCTTGGTTAAGATCAGTAATAGTGGCATCCTCCAGCCTATTCATTGCAAAATGACTTTTGTGGGGGGTGTTTAAGGAATACTGTATTTAGAAATTCTTGGTGGATAATTATTTGCACATGCTTTTTTCCAGAACTGTTTGAACATTGTCTGTTCAAAAGAAATAATTGAAAAAGCAGTTTATAGTGCCACTTCTTAACTACGTAGCTTTCACTTATTGTACTAAGAGAGAAGGGGGAAAAATCTCAGGATTTACGTTTCAGGAGTTACTTTAACAAAAATAAAAAGGCTAAAACTGAAAGGAATTTTTTTTTTTAAAAAGTGCAGCTTGACTTACCCATTTTCACCTCCTATAACTTAACCTTCTTGGTGAGTATATTTATATATATAAAAAAGGAGTGTAGCAGAATTAAATGTCATAGTCCACTGACCCTCTTGTGTGTCAAATTCAGCCAGTTCTACTGCAAGACTTGGTCCTCAAATAAGCAAAATGTAGAATAAGAGCTCTGCTTTCAACTTCCATCACTAGCAACTGCTCCACTTACTGCCAAAATAGTACATCATTATAACAGACTTTCCAGACTGATTCACAGTTCAGTCACCTTTCCAGAGCACATATCACAGAATGGTGGTGCAAAAAGTAGTTCAGATAAAGGCTGAGAACTACTCAAGCATGATTGCCTCAAACTATTTATACCACAAATTGTGTGTTATTTGAAACAAGCTCCCCTCCCCCAAAATGTATATATTACAGGTACAGTATGCATGTGTTTCATAAACACATGTAAATACACTGCCTTGCTGTATGATATTTGCATATGTTTGAGGTGCAATATGGACAGGGCTTGAAAAACTGAGCAGCCACCATCTAACCAGAGGCCTAAACCTACTCGCTAGAGGCAGATACAAAAAATGAGAGGAAGGATGATACCTGCAAGGTCCAGGGGCAGTCCCAGGTGAGAAAGCTGGGTAAGAAGCCTTGCCTCAGCTGCCTGCAATGGAGAAGGGTTCCTCTAGGGAGGGAGTTTTTCCCTGATTAGTTATAACAGCCTATGAGTATTAGATGATTGTTACATCTGAAGCTCACTCCTAAGGCTGCTGGAAAGCCGGAGCTCTCTGTCCCCTCCCCACATTCCAGAGCCTCCAGGTTGGTGGGTATGTCCACTGCTTTCCTTATATTCAGGTCCCTGCTGCAGTGAAAGGTGCGGGAGGTCTCTGCTATCCTGACAGACTCTTGCTTACTAGGAGGAGATTTTCTGTAGCTCTTCCCCTTCCCCAGACTGGTTTTGGGGGGTCCCCCTCTTTCCTGGGTGTCTTTAGGATCTGCTTCTGACCTTTCTGTAGCTTTAGGGTGAAATTGACAAGGCTTTGTCAAATTTTCAGCTGTCCACAGGATTCTGAATGGCACCAGAGTGAAAATGACCAGAGACTTAACAGTGTCACTGCAGATGTGGTTTGGCAAAAGTAGGTGCAGGAGCAGGGGCACCGGAGTTGCCTGTTAGAAGACTCAGGAAGATAGCTATGCATCAGTTCACATTTGGAAAATTTTCTCCACAACCAAAAGGGTTAGAAACAACCTGGACCAAGGATCTGGCATGAAAAGTCCCATTTGCATCACTGGGATGGTACAAAGGGAACTTACAGGTGCTCTAATGAAACAGCTGAGGATTCCTCTGTCAAAAGGGAATCTGTTGTTGAAAGAAAGAAACTGCTTGGAATCTCCTTGCCCCTATTAGCTGAGGAAGTTTTCCTACTTGACACAGGTGAATAGGTTTTTGAAACAGTGAATATGGACACTTTTCATTCCTATAATTAACAAGCTGCAAATTGCTTTTTTCCCCCTCCACGGTTGACATTCCGTCCCCCTGTGCAGAGGGCCAGCACAAGACCTACTCTATGCATCACTTACATTCCACTTATGCCTGCAAAATAGGGCTTAATGTGGGGCATAAGTGGTGCATTGTCCTTGTAGTGCCTCTTCCCCCTAATAGAGGAGTGAATTTCACTTATATGCAAAACTTTTTCCAAGCAATGCATAGGTATTTGCCATCAAATACAATACAAAAGAAAAGAAATAGTGATCCCTGCTGATTCTTGTTAGTTTGTTCTCATGGCTGCATAAAATTCAAACTAAGTACAGTACCTTAAAAGAACAGGTTCTTGTAAATTGAAGATAAATAAGGTATGAGAAATTCTCTTTTGTTCCTTCCCATCAAACATTTAAAGTGATTATAGGTTTCTCCAACAATGTGCTAAAAGTTTTAAAAACCTGTGGGGAAACTAAAGCTTATCTTTACCCCTTGAGAGGTTGAATGGAAAAATCAGCATCCCAGCACAAGTATATATTATTAAAGATGGTAAAAATCAGCAGGGCAGAAGCAGGACAAAATGAAAATATACTTCACAGTTAGCTAGGACTGACACAAAACCAGATTGACCAAATAACAGTCAAGCATACCCAGACACAGGGCCAAATCCTAAAACGGTGTAAATTGCTGAAGTTCAGTGAGTCAATGGTGCTCAGCCCAATGATATAAGGTGAGGTTCTAGCTCAAACTTTGCAAACCACAACCTCTATCATCTCTTTTAAATTTCCCAACTCTAGAGTTGCAATTTGCAGTGCATTCTGGGTGTAAAGGCCAAAAGCTAAGACATTTTAGATATGTCGACACTGGCCCTATAGATGTAATTTGCAGCGGAGGCAGACATACCTGCACTAGCTCTGATTGAGCTAGAATGCTACAAATAGTTTAGCTGCAGTGCCACAAGAAACAGGTGGGCTAGCTGCCCTAGCATGATCCTGTCTGAAATCATAGGCACATACTCAGAGCGGCTAGCTGGTCTTGCCACTGGCACTTCTACTTTTAGCATGCTAGCTCGATCAGAGTTAGTGCAAGTATGTCTACATAGGCTGGAAATTACACCTACAGCTCAAGTATAGACTTACCCTTTGAATCATATACATATTCTATTGATCAAGATATCTAAAAAACAGAGATATGTGCAGGAACAAGAGAGGTGGGCAGAGAGCAAGAGGGCCCGGTTTAAAAAGTAACAATTAGGACTTCAGAACCTTTTATGAAAAGTGCACATACTCCAAATTACGCACCCAGCTCTTCTCACAAAGTGTTCACCCCTAAGACTTACAGAATTTGTGTTTTCTGTATGCACAATGTGCCGTTCGCAAGTATGCATGCACTTACTAAATCAAATCCACTTTTTCTGCAAAGCTAGCAAAGCCTCTAGTCCCCAATTAAGGCAATTTACATACCAGATTTCAACTTCAGCCATCTTTTTTGTATCCCTGCTCCATAGTCCCTTCCTCCCGCAAAAAGTGTTAGGATTTTTTAAAAAAATAAAGTGATGTCCTTCATAAAAAACATAAGAATGGCCATACTGGGTCAGTCCAAAGGTCCACCTAGCCCAGCATCCTGTCTTCCGACAGTGGCCATTACCAGGTGCCCCAGAGGGAATGAACAGAACAGGTAATCATCAAATGATCCATCCCCTGTCACCCATTCCCAGCTTCTGACAAACATCCCTGCTCATCCTGGCTAATAGCCATTGATGGACCTATCCTGAAGGAACTTTAGTTCTTTTTTGAACCTTGTTATAGTCTTGGCCTTCACAATATCCTCTGGCAAAGAGTTCCACAGGTTGACGATGCCTTGTGTGAAAAAAATACTTCCTTTTATTTGTTTTAAACCTGCTGCCTATTAATTTCATTTGGTGACCCCTAGTTCTTGTGTTATGAAAAGGAGTAAATAACACTTCCTTATTTAATTTCTCTGTCATGATTTTACAGACCTCTCATATCCCCCCTTAATAATCTCTTTTCCAAGCTGAAAAATCCCAGTCTTATTAATCTCTCCTGATATGGAACCTGTTCCATACTCCTAATCATTTTTGATTCCCTTTTCTGAACCTTTTCTAATTACAATATATCTTTTTTGAGATGGGGCACCCCACCTAACTCAAAAAGAAAGGGCCCAAACTTCCCAGAAGCATTCACTTTTGGACAGAGACTGAAGAGGGGACGTTAGCTAAAAAGGTGAATTTTTCAGAAAATTATGGATGTGTGCAAATGGGAGTTTACAATGGACAACTTAATTACAAGCTTAGCTGTAGTATTCACTATATTAGCACATCAGAACTTCCTTTAGATGAGGGAGCTCCCATGCAGATTAGTGAGCTTTATGGATTGCCAGATGCAGGAATGGGGTCAATGCTAGTGACGTCACAGTGCTCACACATTTCTCAAGGCTTGGCCATATAAATTCCATTGTTGCCATTGATGATGCTTCTATTCTTTTGTCTTGGATGTTACTACAAAGAAGGAGGCTTTACTGAAGTGTGAATTAGATAGATCCTCTTGTAGGTGTAATTCATTGCCCCATGTTCTTGACTTTTTAAAACCACACAAAATTATATCCTTAAATGTAGCAGGTCTGCTTGTTTAGACTAATACAAGTTAAGACAAACTGGCTGGTAATGGAACTGAAAACATGAATATATTCTTTTCAAAGGAGCACCCAAACAAATCTTTTCTAGTATGCTGAAAAGAGGTTTCTCTACAGAGACAAATACAGCAAATAAGCTTGGAGAGCTACAATAATTCACTCTTAATAAGACCTGTAGTCAACGTTGTGTCTAAATCTCCTGGAAAGAGCTTACAATATTGGAGAAATCCAGAAAGGT